CGCTGCTGCGCTGTGATGAGCGCGGTGTCCCGCTCGAGGCCGCTCACGCTCGTTTGGCGCGCGCGCGCGGGCTCTTGCGGCGCCGGGCGCGGCACGGTGACGCCGACCTTTCCAGCCTTTGGCGCGTTCGCGGCGGCGGTGACGGCGTCCGCGAGCAGCCGCCCGCTGCTCGAGCGCTTGACGGGCTGCCCGTCCGGCATGTGCCGGATCACTTTGACGCCGACCTTCTTGATAGTCGTGACCACTTTCGTGCCGTCGGCCATCAGCTTGACGGAGCGCGAAATCACGCTGTCCGGCAAGTCTTGGCTGAACTGCTTCGGTGCGGCGGTGAAGTTGACCGACTGCTCTGCGGACGCCGGCGCGGTTTGCGCGGCCGGCGCGTCCGGCCGCGCGGCGCCGCTTGCGCTTGGCGCGAGCGCGCCGGCCTTCGCGCCGCGAAACTTCTGCAACAGACTCACTTTCTTGGGCGTCGCCGCGAGCGCTGCGCCGTCCGCGTAAACGCCGCCGCTCAAGTTGGTTCGCTCGGCACTGCTATTCATGCGCGCACATTCAGATCACTTGTGGCGGCACGTGCCTGTAAAGGTGCATGTCGCTAGGTGCAGCGCCGGCATACGGCCGCCGCGATTTATTCGCGAATTGCGGCAGAAATCCGCTGGGCGCAATATTCACCGTATTATTCAATTTCGCTTTCGCAGTTTTCCGCGCCATGCTTTTCCGAATCAAAAGCGAAACCGAGTCGCTGCGCAAAAACCGGTTGGACGGCATCACGATCAAACCCGACCCGCAAAACTTCCGCCACTTCTACGTGTTGCTCGACGGTCCGCCCGACAGCCTGTACGAAGGCGGCCGCTTCGAGCTCGAGCTGTTTTTGCCCGAGCTGTACCCAATGGTCGCGCCGAAAGCGCACTTCCTCACGCCGATCTACCACCCGAACATCGACCAGCTCGGGCGCATTTGCCTCGACATCTTGAAAGACAAGTGGTCGCCCGCGCTGCAGATCCGCACAGTGCTGATCAGCCTGCAAGTGCTGCTCGGCGACCCGGTGCCGGAAGATCCGCTCGACCAGTCGGTGGCCGACGTCTTCACGCGCGATTACGCGCAAGCGGCGCGCACCGGTAAGTCTCCGCGATTCCGCCGCAGCGCGCGAGTGGACTAAGCGCTTCGCAGACCCCAACCGCAGCTTCGCGCACGACTACAGCTAGCTGTGCGCGGCCTTCGCGCGCAGCTGCTGCTCGACGCCTTTCGCGCCGACCACTTTTCTGTTCTGCGTCGCGCTCCGCCGCACCTACCTTGCGCACGAGGCGCTCCGTCTTGCTCGACTTCGGCGGCGCGGATCGCCGCGGCGCCTTCTTGCGCGGCGTGCGCGCCGGCGCCGCGCTGCGTCGCTTCTGTCCGAGTCCTTGCGGCATTTTGCCAAATAATAATAATCGTTTATGCTGCGCGCAGCGGACGTGGATTGCGAAGCGCTCTTTGCAACGAACCGCGCACAATTCGCGCAGCAGGTCGCGGGCCACCGCGACGCGTTCCGTGCGCACCCTGCCGACGCCGCGTTGGTCGTCAAGCAGTGCCTCGAGCGCGAGTTCTGCTTCTACGCGCACTACCGCGCGGCGACGGCCGCGCGCGACTGCGCGTTCCGCGACGTGTTTCTGCCGCAGCTCGCCGCGCTGCAACGGCGCGGCGCGCGTTGCTGGGTCGTGCTGTGCAACTATTGCGCGGCGGGCGCGGCGAACGTGCTCGACGTGAAGCTCGGCCGCCGCTACTGTTGGCCCGACGCGCCGCCGCGCAAGCGCGAGTCGTGCCGGCGCAAAGAACAGAGCGCGAGCACGCGCGCCTGGGCGCTGCGCGTGTGCGGCGCACGCTTCGCGCTGCACGAGGGCGACGCCGCGCAGCCGCGCGACAAGCGCGCGCTGCAGGCGCTTGCGAGCTGGCCCGAGCTGCTCGCCCTCTTCCGCGCAGCGTACAGCGGCTGCGCGGACGAGGCGGTGCGCGGCGCAGCCGCGAAGCTGCTGCGGCTGAAGCGCGAGCTGCCCGCGCAGCCCTTCGCGCTGGTGGGCTCCTCGCTGCTATTCGTGATCACCGCAAAGACAGCGGAGCTGCGGCTCATCGACTTCGCGCACGCGCGCCCGCACTGCGGGCTGGACACGGGCGTGCTCGCCGCGCTCGACAGCCTCCTCGCGTTGCACGCGGAGCTGCTCGCGCAGCGCGCCGCTCACGCGGGCAAGTGCAGCTCGCCGCGCGCCTTCTCGTAGAACGCCGGACAGGCCGCGCGCAGGTCTTCCGCGGCAATCTCCGAGACTGTGCGCAGAAACAGCTGGTTGGTGCGCAGCAGCTCGTTGTAAACCACGAGCTTCGGCTGCGCCGAGAGCAGCGCGCCGGGGTGCAGCGCGGCGCGCGCGCCGCCGCCCAGCGGCGAATACGATTTGCCGTCTCGCGAGACGGCCACGTTGTAGAACAGGCCATGCAGAATGCAGCGCAGAAAGTTTGCGTGCGTCGGCTGCGGCGCGCGCTCTGCGCCGCGTGCTTCCGCTTCCGCTTCATTCGCGTCTGCATCCGCGTCTGCATCCGCGTCCGCATCCGCGTCCGCAAGAGCCAGCAGCTGCTGTTGGATCCGCGCGGCCATGGCGAGGTTTGTGTGGTTCAGCCCGAGCTGCCTGCAGAAGCGCGCCGGCTCTGGCGCGTCGAGGAAGCCGTAGAACAGGTTCACGAGCGTCCGGTGCTCGCTGCTCGGGTGTACGAAGCTCTTGAGCGCGGGCGGCGCGCGCTTCGCCGCGTCGCCCGCGAACACGCTGTTCACGCTGAGCAGCGCGACCAGCGCGCGCACCTCGCGTTGCACGCCGAGCTCCGCGCTGCGCT